TCGATTTGGTGAAGTTTGTAGAAGAAGGCAGACAACAAGCTGTAAAGTTCTAGTAAACTCCATCATATATCCAAGAGAGATTTCTAGTGAGGCGATAAAAAAAGGCAATACAAAAATCATTGGACACGGCAGTTCAATCTTGTGGTTTGTTTATTGATCGCACACATCCATTTCTGGCAGCATCACCCCCATCTACCGATTACAGTAGACAAGACATGTACTTAATCGAGGTATAAGCCTACCAGTTTATTGCTTTGCAAAAACTACCTAACTGTTTCCTCTTATTTTGACAGCATAAGATATTTTTATGACCCTCGTTCAATTGTTACCTTCTACCACACGACCCATGTAAACATAATTGTGTTTATTGACATGAATAAACGAATTAGAATTTGAGTTCTTGAATTCATTTTAGGAAAGATATAAAATTATTTGAATACATTTTTTCTTAGTCGGAACGCACCGTCCGTCGCGTCGCTTGGACTAGCAGGACGAAACAGTAGATGAATATCGCCCAAAAACCGATTTGCACTTCACAGCTTACTTTTTATTATTTCCAAATGAAACTCTTGCAGCGTGCTAAAAACACAGTCCACAGGGTGCCAGCGATCCACTTTTTGGATTTTATCCACTAGGATCTTTTTAAAATATCAAGAAGTTGAGCACAAATAGTGAGAATTTCAACCCACCATATTTCTTGCGTAAAGACAAAATTTTGTAAAAAGCTCTGATAGCACCCTAGGCGATTAGGCAATTATGGCCTGCTTATATCCAGAAAAACATCACAAACTGCAGAACACAAAAGGTAACGGCGAAATGGGTACATTTTACGGGTTATGAAATTCAAATGAAAATGCAGGTATAAAATCTACCAAATGATCGTTCTCAAAAACATATTTCCTTGACATATCGATAATTTCCACGCTAAATTTCCCTATCCTTGACTGGAGTGATATCCGAATTTATTCTTCCCTACTGTCGGTAGTTGCAGATCTGTTGGCTGTTGGTGTCAAACCTATAGAGCAGGTACCAATTTTTTTAAATCGTGAGAACATTATTCGTCGGATTTTCGATACTTAAATTTCCTGTAATCACTGCGATCAGAAGCTTCTTAGTAATAGAACGTGTTTCACTGATTTCAATAATCTCCCCTTTTTAAGCAGTACATTTTTTGTATGTCAATGATTAGGAACCCCTGAAACGTCATAAACGGAGTTTTACTTTTTCTTTTTTGCCTATAGCACCGTTGCCACTGGACTAAAACTACAAAGCTTTGACATACTAGTAATCGCATGTGGAAATTTCATATAAATCCGAGCAGTAATTTCCAAGTTGATCATGAGTGATACAGTTTTTCGTGATGTAGATGTCATATGACTTAACAAAAAACATAACATCTCATTTTAGCAATTTTTCGCGATTACAATACTTCCTCGCCAATGACGTGGGAAGTAAAACGGCTTTAAAATCGATGAGTATCAGCGATCGCGATTATGAGTACCTATTTGCAGAACGACTTCTTAGTCCGTACATTGCGCCGCAACGCTTGGTTTGGCAGCACGAAACAGTAGACAAAATTCGTCCAAAATACGATTTGTAGAGGTTTGCGCGCTTCGAAATTGACGCTTTATTTTTTGATATTTCAGAGTGCTGAAAACAAAACCCCACAGTGTGCTATAGAGCCACTTTTTCATTTTTTTCACTAGGTTCTTTTTAAACAAAGCGCGAGGTTGAGCAGAAAAAGTGCGCACTTCAACCCATCATAAAACTTGTGCAAAAACAAAATTTCAAAAAGTGCTCCTGGGCAATTATCTTCTCAACATATTGTATGAATTTCATTCAAAAATATTGAAAAATGGAGTGTCAATTTTGAAGCAGCTGAACCCTTGTAAATGGCTTGAAACTCACTGCGTCGGAGCCGCCTTAAATTGTGCCCATTATGTACGGGTTTACATTATAAGCAAGTTCATTATAACTGGATTCTACTGTATTTTTTTGCTACAAGATCAGTTTCACATCTCACGCTATTAGGAAAGATGTTTGAATTCTCAACAATTTGGAAATTGAAATATCTACTACGTTTTTTGGATATTACATGACATGTATACCACAAAAGATCATGTTGCTCATTTTTGTCGGTCTATCTGTACGGTAATCCATGCCCTCTTTATAACTCGGGAAGTAACGGTGAAAATTCGTTGAAATTTTAGGTCTTGAAAATCGGCTCATTGGCGGCGGAGTGGTGCACTACTAATGAACGTCTTCAAACTTTGTTTTCCGACGTTTTTAGAGTGTTTGACAAATTGGAGGAGTTAAAGATATTCTTGGAGGGATAATTCTTTTAAAATTCCGAAAGTTCGGCACTTCCTAGTAGGGCGTTGTAAGAATTCCGTACAGACATTTCTCATACTTCCGTCTCTAATGACTCTTAAAATTTTCATTTATCTTAAATCTCAAACAGATTTCTACCATTGTTTCGTAAATCATGAGTCAATCTACTTGGTTCCATTTTTCAGATAGCTCAATCATATACTTACATTTACAAACAAATAACGTTTTTTAGTATCCTGGATACTATGCAAAGGAATAATAGCGTTCTTAATTCAGTCGTGTAGCTTGAAACTGGTGATATTATAAAGTATTATAGCTACCAACCTACTCATTAAATAAAAATTCCATCTTTATGATTTTCTTTCTGGAAAACAATCAACTTTATGATGAGTTCTAAATGACGAAACATATTTACGTGCAACTTGCCATGAGAAATGCTTAACGTGTGTAATTTTGCGAAACAAACGCAAAGTCACTGGAATCAAATGCACTACACAAAGTAATTTTGTTGATATTGAGTTTGCGTAATTTACAGGGGAACATCAATCACTCGTTAGAGGTTTACAACGTAAAATGAGTCATTTTAAATCTATTTTTTTATAGCATTTTGGTTTTCGGAAATAGTAAATAATCGTGGAGTAATACGTTCCACAATTATTCTCAATTTTGAAATATATTCTTTTAACTGAACATACAAAATTGGAACATGTTTTTTAATTCTCTTTAGAGTGCTATAGATATTTCGAAACGAACTGTTTTGGAAATATTACAATTTAAACGGATCAGGGTCTAAGCCGTATATTTCAAATTCGGCGCTCACCATTGAGATCTCGGAAACGGTGAGAGATACGATGTCGCTTAAACGGGGACAAAAATGCCGATTGGAAAATTCTGAAATTGAAAGTACTTCCGCTGAGAGATGGAAAAAACGAATTTTCACAAAGTTGGTTTAATTAAAACAAGACGTCTTAATTAAAATTTGAATATGACCTTCCGACACTTGTCCTCCAGCATCAACTTTATTTTTTCTTATTGACGCCATATTGGATTTTTGTGCAGATGGAGTTTTTAATTCTGATTTCGAAAATGAATATATCATACATTGACATTGCCAATCCTTAGTTATTCCAGAAAAACAGAAGTTCCTAGATGGAACATAGCAACAGAGTTTGAAAGACTGTGAAGAAGAAAAACGAATCGAGCAGTGAACAATATACAGAGCCTACAGAATAAAGGACAACGTTTTGAACATCTTGTACAGGAGAATGAGTATCAATGACAACGCAATTTATTTTGAAATCCTATCTCAAATAAGGTCAGGTAAAAGTTAGTGATTTTGGGATAAACCTGATATGCGAAACAAATGACTATCTCATAATCTCATCATTTCATAAGGTTTGGCAATGTCAATGTATGACGTATTATATATTTTTGATGCTAGAGTACAAGAGACAGGTCATATTAAAATTTTAATTGTGCCATTTTGTGAAGGAGAAAAAGTGGCAATGTTAATGTGCAATTTATTTTGAAATCCCACTACAAATAATCCAAATACAAATAAAGTCAGGAAAAAATTAATACGATTTTGGGAAAATTCGTGTTTTCCGTCTCTCTTCTGAAGCACTGTCAAACTTTCTAAGGATTACCTAAATACGCAACTTTTCCCCATTTAAGCTACTTTGTATCTCTTACACAGTTCCCGAGATACCAACAGCGAGGGTCCCATTTGAAACATCCTGTATATGCCGATTTCTCGGCTCTGAAAATAATTCAAATTTCAACTTGATCATTTCTACAGAATGTTTGCATTTCAATGTTTTAGAATATATGCATTTTAAACTGTCATCAACATTCTCATTTATTACTTATTTTTTTAAAAAACCAAAATTCAAAATTTGGGCGTTTTTGTCCAGCATTTTTATATGAGCGCAAATCTATAACTCACTAAGACACAAAACATATACATACAAAGTCTTGCTCCAATGGGCTCGGATTAAAAAACAAAAGTTGAAGTCTAGTTATAACTGTGTACCTAATGATTTCTCCACCTTTTGTTTTTAATGTGAGCCCAGTATAGCAACACTTTTATTTTTGTAAATACTTCGTGTTTTAGTGTGTTTTAATAGATTTGAAATATATAAAAATAATAATTTGGGTATTCGAAATTAGGTGAATATTTGACAAACAATTAAACAATGCTTGTTTGGACTTAAAAAAACAATCATGTACTAAAATAAAAAAGTGTTAATGAAAGTTTAGGATAAATACGTTCCAAAATATTTAATACACAACTATCATAAATCGAATCATCTTGAAATTTGCCATCTCGTTGATAAAAGATTTCACAATCTCTTGTTATCTATATCAGGTAGATATACCTGTTATTTGCAAAACATATATGCAGTTAGCTCTCTGATAAGGATTAACTAAAGATTGTGAAACGTTTTTTGAAATGGTAGCTACTCCTTCGGGTTGAAAAGAGGTGCAAATATTTAATCATAATTATTGTATGCTAACTCAAGGTTATGTCTAATTACTTGAAGTTAAGGCCAGCCCCCGGGCAAGTACAACAATTTCAAGGTTAACCGGAGGTCATCATTACACATCTCTTCAACGCTACCATTGTGAAGTTTTTTGTTTAAAATGAAACATATTTTTTATATATATACACCTTTTATTAACTATTAAGCACATATTTACAAACGAATAAAAAAATATATTCAACAAGATGAGCTCTACAATATATTTCTCAGCATTGAACCAATAGTAATTATAATATTTATAACATTTATACAAATTTAAACTATGATTCAGTCTATTCAAAATAACATTATCAAAGCACACGAACAAATACATATATGACACATTCAGCATGGAATGCGCGTTTAATCAACTTCTTCGATTGTTGGTCCTCCATTTTGTTCTCCTCTGGGTCCTGCTCCTCCAGCACCTGCTCCTGGAAAACCGCCAGCTGCACCTCCACCATGAATCTTTGCCATGATCGGGCTGCAGATTCTCGTAAGTTCCTTCTGTTTGTCTTCAAACTCATCCTTCTCGGCCAAAGAGTTGCTGTCCAGCCATTTCAAGGCACTCTCACATTCCCTCTCAATTGTGGATTTTTCCTCTGAAGACAGTTTGTCTCCACATTCCTGAGCAGCCTGTTTGACTTGGAAGATATAGGCTTCGAGTTGATTCCTGGCAGCTACCCTCTGGCGCTGTTTCTCGTCTTCTTCTTTGTATCTCTCAGCTTCGGCCAACATTCTGTCAATATCTTTCTGAGACAATCTTCCTTTGTCGTTCTTGATAGTGATGTTTCGGACATTTCCTGAGCTGTTATCTTTGGCTGAGACGTTCAGAATACCATTGGCGTCCATGTCGAAGGTAACTTCAATCTTTGGCACTCCTCGAGGTGCTGGCGGTATACCAGTGAGATCGAAAGTACCCAGAAGGTTGTTGTCTTTGGTCATGGCTCTTTCACCTTCATAGACTTGGATGGTAACTGCAGGCTGGTTGTCGGAATAGGTGGTAAAGGTTTGCGTCTGCTTGCAAGGAATCCTCGAGTTGCGTTCGATGATCTTGGTCATGACACCACCAGCGGTTTCGATACCCAACGACAGAGGAGCGACGTCCACCAGTAGAACATCCTGAATCTTGGAGTCCGTAGAACCAGTGAGGACAGCTGCTTGTACAGCAGCACCATAGGCAACGGCTTCATCTGGGTTGATGGACAGATTGAGCTGTTTCCCGTTGAAGAAGTTCTGGAGAAGTTGCTGGATCTTCGGGATACGAGTCGAACCTCCTACCAATACGACGTCGTGGATCTGTCCTTTGTCCAACTTAGCATCGTTCAGAGCCTTCTCCACAGGTTCCAGGGTCGAACGGAACAAATCGGAGCACAGTTCTTCGAAACGAGCTCTGCTGATCTTGGTGTAGAAGTCGATGCCTTCATACAGAGCGTCAATCTCAATAGTAGCCTCCGTGCTGGATGACAAAGTGCGTTTTGCTCTTTCAGCCGCAGTCCTCAATCTACGGATCGCCCTTGGGTTGGATCGGAAGTCTTTCTTGTATTTTCTCTTGAATTCCTCCGCAAAGTGGTTGACTAACCTGTTGTCAAAATCTTCACCACCCAGATGAGTATCACCTGCAGTAGCCTTCACCTCGAACAGCGAGCCTTCATCGATGGTCAGGATGGATACATCAAAAGTACCACCACCCAAGTCGAAGATGAGCACATTCTTCTCACCTTTCAGGTTCTTGTCGAGACCATAAGCAAGTGCAGCTGCTGTGGGTTCATTGATGATCCTGAGCACATTCAATCCTGCAATGGCACCGGCATCTTTGGTTGCTTGTCTTTGTGAATCGTTGAAGTATGCTGGGACTGTGATAACCGCATCCTTCACTGTGCCGCCCAGATAGGCTTCTGCAATTTCTTTCATTTTTGTTAGCACCATTGAACTGATTTCTTCTGGAGCGAAGGTCTTGGTTTCGCCTTTGAACTCCACTTGGATCTTGGGCTTGCCGCCATCGCTGACAACTTTGAATGGCCAGTGTTTGAAATCCTGCTGGATCTTGGGATCGTCGAATTTTCGGCCAATGAGTCGCTTCGCGTCGAAGACTGTGTTGCTAGGGTTCATAGCTACCTGGTTCTTGGCGGCATCGCCAATGAGACGTTCTGTATCGGTGAAGGCAACATAACTTGGTGTTGTTCTATTCCCTTGGTCGTTAGCGATGATTTCCACCTTCCCGTGTTGCCAGACACCGACACATGAGTATGTGGTGCCCAAGTCAATACCAACTGCTGGAGCTTTCGGCATTTTGCACTAATAACACACTAAACTGTTCAACAAATAACAAAGCTCGAATCAGCACACCGAATGTATAATTCGCTTATAGTTGTTTTCACCGTCGCGCTTATTCAAATCTACTGATCGCTCCCGCCGCGAAGTAGTTTTATATAACGGTGGCAATTCGTTCACGAAGAAGCACGATCCTTCCCGAACCTCACCCGAACTTACTAGAACGACTGCCGGCTTCCGAGGATCAATGAATAAGAGCCGGCGAGGCGTCAAAAGCGCATACATTGTTGCCAGATCCAACATTTTGTTATAGAATTGGCCCATATTTATAAATTACCTTGAAAATTCAGCTTCCTCACATAGTATGACATTCATTCATATACATGGTTTTTTGAATAGATATTTTATACCAAACTGCTCATCTAAAAATATGGTGTCAAATAGATTGACGTAGTACTTCTCGCGCATTCATTCATGTGTAGGTACACCTGATACATTCAAATTTTTCTGAAGTAAAAATTGCAAATGAACCTTGCCTTTTAAAACTCCCGCATCCTCTATAAAAATTGATCAGAAATAAGAATGATAGAATTTACATATCCTCAAAAATGTTAACCCCTCCCAAGGGTTTTTCTATGCTCAAAAATTATTAGGAAGTTGCAAAACATCCAAAAAAGAGGTTTAATAACCATCTCAGCCGTTTTTATTTTTAACCCTTGACGCAAAAAAATTTGGAAGTGTGTATTCAGTGTGTGTGCGTATTTAAAAGTCTTTTTATATTCAAATTTACCTCAAGTAGAAATTGCAAAGAAGCATTTCCTTTTGAAACGTTTGCATCCTCTATAAAAATTCAGCAAAAATACTTAAATTTTCAAATCATCAAAATTGTTAACCCCTGCAAAGAGTTTTTTCTATGATCAAAAATCTTCAGCAAGTTGCAAAACACTCAAAAAAGATCTTTAAGAACATCTCAGACTTTTTATTTTTAACCCCCACCGCAATAAATTTAACGTAATTAGGTGTGCATTTTAAATTCTCTCTTCTTTTTGAGGGGGGGCGTGAATGTGAGCAACCCAAAGTAAGCGAACATGGCTTAATGGGGTATTAGATTAATTTGTAGATTAATAACACGGCTGTTCAATAAAAATCGATTCAGTTCTCTCAAAGTTAGACCCATTTTTGTGTAAAATTTTTAACCAAGCCCCAAAAACACTCGAACGAATGAACTGATACGTTCTTTTTAATCGAAAGGATTATGTTTCATGAAAATCGATTCATCTGTGTAAAAATTAGGGGCAGATATGGGTAAACGTTGAACGTGAACAATCAACCACAAGAGGTTATGAAACCATGGGCTTTGGCAGGTATTTTCATCAGAGGCGGCTGATTATCAACTGAACTTTTTGTGAAAGTATACCTACCTCCAAAACTTTTTGAAACGGGCGTTGCACATTTTTCCAAGATGAGGGCAAATCCTAAAAATCCTCAAAAGTATACACAAAATCATAAATAAATATGCAAATTTAAGGTCCACCTGCGGCGCCCATGTATGAAACTTGTTAGCTGGAACTTGAAAATTTTCACGCTCATGCTTAAAACATATGTGGGGAAAATACTATGAGCTACTATATGGGTGAGAAACCACATCGTAAGTTTCGAAAGTTACAGCTAGTAGTGGTAGGAATGCTCTTCACTGTTATCAGAAAGTTAATTGTTAAAATTTCGAAAAACTGTAAATATAAAGCAATGATCCATTGGTCTCTCGCACACGATAATGTTTTGTCATAATCGAATAATGAACAAAGACTTTGGGTTATACTTATAGGAATTATTAACCAAAAAATGTACATTGTATATGAACTTTTACTGTCCTAAGTTCTATTTTTTATCTATTTTCTGAACAGATCCATATGAAAATTCAAATAACAGAAAATAAATGAAGTTCATTGCATTATTGATAGTATCAAGAAATCGATAACTGAAATCATGGCAACAGCGGACACACCAGAACTTACTAGAAACAACGTAAACGGTGGTCATGGTCGTAGCGGTTGTTCACCCGTGGTTAGTACGTGCAGTTTACCCGAATTTTCTAGAAGGTGGGTTTGCCCTTATAGTACAGTCAAACTTGTAATGTAAAAAGAACAAAACGATGTGGGATTTTAACTATTGGTTACTAAGATAGGTGGTGCGGCAACTGAATATGTTAGTGTAAATGATTCCAGGGGCTTGAAATTTGTAATTTTGTTTGAGGGATAAAAGCGGATGTCACTATGTATTCATCATGAACTACAGCCTTCACCCCTTCACTGCATTCGCCCTGTAACACTAAAATGACCAGGAAATTTTAATTTAACTGACTCGGTAGGAATCACTTATAAACTTCCAAAGTAAATATTTAAAAGAAATAAATGGTTAAAAGTCATAACTACTATTTTGTAGAAGCACAATTATTATATGATTTGTTTTCTATCAAAATGCAACGTTGTATTCGACTCTGAGAAATAAATAGTGCATATATGGTTCAAATTTGTGTAAAAGGTTATTACAGAGCTTTGGCTATCACAAATGCCGCATAGGCAAGCATAAACTGTTCGACATTTTAAGTCAATGGTTGATGTGTGATACATGACAAATAAGGTTAACGTACGCACTATTGTGTTAAAAAAGCTTTCCCCTGAAATTCCAAGTGTCTAGCAGCCCCTAGCCCGGCAGAAATTAAATTATTATATAATTATCTCTTAGCGTTTCGGAGATCATGTAGGTGCAAATATGACAAATTTGTTTTTCAAACCATCCTAGGAAAACTAGGTAGGTACTACTCTATATATTCTAGAAAACCTTTTTTGACTATATATGACGAAATTTCAAGTAATTGTAGAAATACAACGAATAAATATCAACAGAGAAATCATTTTCGGAATTAGTATAATGTTGTTATATGCCAGGCTATATCAATAATATATAAACTAAAAAATGTAGCGGTACATTCCAAGTAGGAAGCGTATAGTCCACATTTTTTTCAAATAGCATTTTTATGTTTTATACTAATAGAAATTATTGTCCAATTATATACTAAACAGTCACCCTGTAGAAGATTTTTTTTTGATGTTGTCCACTAGAAAGGCTTTAACTTTTGGCTACTATTTCATATTTACTCTTATACACTTTTCGGCATAAAGTAACGATTTTTTACAATAACCAATTAACTGTTGCAATGAACTGGACATGTTTGAATGAAGATGTTTTCGTCCCTGTCTCAATTCTTCTATAGACTTGTAACTTTGAAGTTTGATAAAAAAAAAGTTACCCAGAATTTTGTATTTCGAGATGGCCTTTGCATTCACTCTAAAAATATAGGAATCCCTATGTACAATTTCTTTTACAACAGGGCTTTCATTTGAATTGTCAAATCGTTGTGGAAAACTATATAAATGTAATGAAAATCGAAAGAAAACCGTGAACCATAGATATATAGATATGACTTGTGGAATTTCCACTTAATTTTTTTAAAGTGCCCCCTTCTGTTTTAAGCTGGGTAAGCCTCCGGGTAATCATCAGCTGTTAGTGTCTTTTATGGGACATCATGTTTCTGTAAACTATCTAGTGCTCTCTAGATCCTCAACATCTCATTACCAACATTTCCAATTCTCTATTGATAGAGAATAAATTACAGTGATAACAAATCGTCACATCCTCACTTATACAGGTACCTAATTATTAGCTGTCAGTGTATTTTAGGTGTTGGTTCTGTCAACTATCCAGTACCTAGAAAACACATCAGTTTCTCGACGTGCCCGCGAACCCATAAAAGCAGTTATTATAAAAGATAGTGGGAAAGGTCCCATTATAAGGATATTTTACAACTCAACATACAAATTGACTGTATTATTTTATTGGGATCTAGAGAAATACCTGCTTTGCCCTTCATCGCGTTCTAGAAGGGAACGTAGACAAAGGGTAGGTAGATAAACGATTTCAGAACGTTTTGATTCTGGAATAATCATGAAAATCAAAACTGAGCCCGTTTTTGAAACTTTTTTGCCTCATTCTCGTATTAAGAACGAAATGGGTTGATTAACCTTGAACTTCCTACACACTGATGATGTGTACCTGTATGAATAATACCTCCGTTTCTCAAATTTTCTCGGTCCGAGGATGATTCATCAATTTTTAAAATCGAAATCGTAAAGTTGAACGACTCTCTACTTCCCACAGATGAACATAAATCGCTTTCCGATTATGCAGATGACAAATTCTTCGAAATGCTCCTTAACTGTACCCACAAACAGTAAATAATGGCCTCGAGAATGACTCAGAAATGATCGTCTCACAAAAACTTATTATTAAAAACACCCACAAAAGTGAACATTTTTAAATTATTCTTTCGTATAGATTTAGGTTTTTGTGAAAATTGAAAGGATCCTTGTTACTAAATTAAACATTATACCATTGTATTTTCATTTATGTAAATTAACAATAACAATGTTCACAACACTTATGTTCTATGTTTAACTATACTGACGATGTCTATTTTGGAGATTTTCTCTGATGCCCCTAATTTGTTAAATAAATAAATAAATAAATATCAAATCCGTCATAGGAGCCCAATGTTAGACGAACTACAGAAAGTGCTTCGCAAAAAGGTGACTGATGGTGGATATTATCCACTTTATAACCCTAGGCTACAAATTAACTATTTTTAAAAATGACGGAGTGAGTGTCTTCTCTTGGAAGTAACTATCTGAATGTGCAATAAAAGATGGGGCATTGTGCTCAAGAAACTGACAGTTATTAACATTTCTCAAATGGAATATCTCATGTTTTATCACACATCCAGATAGATCCTTTAAAGAAAATAAGATTGTCATAACATACGAGTACTGCAGCGTTTTAATTATTGGTTGTTGAGTAAAAGGCAATTCAATTTAGGTACATATACAATAATGATCAAATTTGACACCCTGCCAGTCCGCCATGCTTAAACATAAAACATAAGGAGCTTCAAAGTAAAGTATCATGTGCCCCTTATTCTATTAAAAAAATTACCCAAGATGGCGACTAGCCGCCATTTTGGAATTTTAAACTATCAATCTTACTCTAAAATATAGAATTAATGCAGCAATTCCATCAATCCGAATATCAGCTCACAAAGTTTACCAGTACTACCTTTTTTAATTATTACAGTAACAAAGCGCTAGATTTCATTTAACAATAGGTACATAATATTGACATT